TGCTGGACCTTGAGGCCTATTATTTAACCCAGTGTGACATATCTATAGGAATAACCACCAAAGCTATCCATGAGTACCAACATGCTAACAGCTCAAAACCATACCCAGTAGAAAAGTCAGTAAACCACTCCCTCAGACTTGGAAATTAGATGTATTTTAAAATTCTCCTCCAAGATAGAGTCCTTAAAGCCTATTTGGACAGGTTCTCAATAAGCACTACTAATTCCTACAGCAGTCAAACTTTCAGCTATTTCTTCCTGTGTTCATAGCTCTAGAATCAAGAGAGTATTCTTACCCAAAGACTCACTGACTTCCGGTTACCACCGTGAGCCCATGGGAGAGCTTTGTCTGACCCATTTCAGGTAAAACCAATTTTTTTTTATTGTTTTATTATTCATATGTGCATACAATGCTTGGGTCATTTCTCCCCCTGCCCCCATCCCCTCCCTTACCACCCACTCCGTGCCCTCTCTCTCACCCCCACCCCCTCAATACCTGGCAGAAAAAAATGATCTTGTCTCACACTATCATCTCATTTATTCCATTATTCTCCAAAGGTTTGATCTTGTCTCACACTATCATCTCATTTATTCCATTATTCTCCAAGGGTTTGCCCATTTGCCTCCTGCAGATCTGAGTCTCAAATTTGTAACCTAATCCTAGATCTTTTTCTACAGGTGACTTTTCTTTTCCAGACCCTAAATTCTTCTTTTCCACCAGCCAGTAGTTCCTTCCATTTTTCCATAACCACACACTTACTCCCTGGAAAACTATCTTTGTCTTACTGCTTCAACATAAATAAGCTCCCATCTTGGGATTCCTCCTACTAAGAGAATTTCTGACATTATTTGGCTCCTCCTGTTACTTCCACAAGCAAGTTTCCTGGAACTAATGATAAAATACCACTTTTAATGATAACATCTTTCTCTCTGGTAGGGACAATACTAATATCTGCACCCTGTGCCTGGCCAACATCCATTGACAAATGCTCTCATGTGAGCAGAACAAACTTATCAATCCCACTGTTGGTTATGCCTTTGAAGGAGGGAACTCCACAGGACATCACTTCTTAATTGCTGCACATCCATCAATGGGAGTCCATCCTTAATATATCAGGGACATATTTTGGATTTGCTTACACATTATATATGCAGATTCCAGATAGGGGAATAGGAGGAGGACCAAGGCAGAAAATCCTTTTCTGGACTCCCAAACCAGTTTTTTTTTTTTTTTTTTGCAGAAAAACTGGTGATTTGTTTTACAGATACAGGAGGAAAAGAACCCTATCTAGGATTCTTAATCCTAAGAAAGCCTCTGTAATAAAACTTGAGTTTTATCTCTCTTGGGTGGGAGCCCCAGGGGAATATAAAACCTTTTTTCTACAAAATAGAGATTAAAAAAAAAAAACATACAATCAACAAAACAAAAAGTTGGTTTTTTGAAAAAATAAGTAAGATTGATAAACCCTTAGCAAATATGACTAAAATAAGGGAAAGGATCCAAATTAATAAAATTAGAAATGAAAAAGAGGCGATCACAATGAACACCAAGAAAATCCAAGGAATCATTAGGGATTACTTTGAAAACCTATATTCAAATAAACTGGAACATTTAGAAGAAATGGATAAATTTCTAGGCACATGACCAAAATTGAACCAGGAGGATATAAATCACCTAAATAGATCTAGAACAAGCAATGAAACTGAAGAAATAAAATATCTCACAATAAAGAAATGTCCAGGATCTGACCAATCCACTGCTGAATTCTAACACACCTTTAAAGAATAGCAATACTCCTCAATCTTTTCCATAAAATAGGAGAAGAAACACTGACAAAATCATTCTATGAAGCCAGTATTACACTCATTCCAAAACTGGACAAGGACACAATAACAACAAAAACAAACAAAAAAAAGGATTATAGGCCAATCTCTTTAATGAAAGATGCAAAAATTATCAATAAAATACTGGCAAACCGAATTCAACAACTTATCACAAAGATCATACACCATGATGAAGGCCGTTTCATACCAGAGATGGTACAACATATGCAAATCATTAAATGTAATACAGCATATTAACAGAAGCAAAGACAAAGACCACATGATCATCTCAATAGATGCAGAAAAAACCAACAAAATTCAACATTCTTTCATGATAAAAGCTCTGATGAAACTAGGAACAGAAGGAATGTACATAATAAAGGCTATATACAACAAACCTATAGCCAATATCATACTTAATGGGGAAAAACTGAAACTATTTCCTCTAAAGTCAGGAATGAGACAAGGATGTCTACTCTTTCCACTCTTATTCAACATATTCCTTGAACTCCTAGCCAAAGCAATAAGACAGGAAGAAGAAATAAAAGGAATACAAAAAGAAAAAGAAGAAGTCAAACTCTACCTATTTGTAAATGACATGACCTTATACCTAAAAGAACTGGAAAATTCCACCAAAAAACTACTAGACATGATAAGCACCTTCAGCAAAGTAGTAGCATACAAAATCAATTTACAAAGTCAGTATAGTCTTTCTATATATCAATAATGAACAGAATTGTGGAAGAATATAGGAAAACAATTCTATTTACAATAGCCTCCCAAAAAAGGCCTGAAAATAAACTTAACAAAGGAAGTGAAAGAACTCTACAATGAACACTAGACACCATTGTAGAAAGAGATCAAAGACTACAGAAGATGGAGAGATCTCCCATGCTAAGTTCATAAGGAAACACAAAAGAGTGCAAATAGTCAAAGCAATACTGAGCAAAAAGAGCAATGCTAGAGGTTATCAGAATTCTTGACTTTAAACTATACTACAGAGCCATAGCAATAAAAACAGCATGATACTGGCAAAAAACAGATAACTAAGCCGAATGGAACAGAAGACCCAGAAATGAATCCTTGCAGCTACGCTCACCTGATTTTTGACAAAGACAACCAAAACATAAAATGGAGAAAGATGGCTTCTTCAACAAATGTTACTGAGAAAACTGGGTATTTGCATGTAGAAAACTGAAACTAGATCCATGGCTTTCAACCTGTACAAATATCAACTCAAAGTTCATTAAGGACTTCGATATACAATCTGAAACTATGAAGCAACTACAGGAATTAGTAAGAAATACACTAGATTATATAGGCATAGACACCAGCTTCCTAAACAGAACTCCAATGGCTCAGCAAATAAGAGAAGGGATGAACAAATAGATCAAACTAAAAAGCTTCTGCACAGCAAAAGAAACAGTCACTAGACTTAAGAGACTGCCCCCACAGAATGGGAGAAATTCTCTGCCAGCTATTCATCTGATAAAGGACTAACATCCAGAACCTAAAGGGAACTCAAAAATCTCAATCCCTGAAGAATCAACAACCCAATGAAAAAATGAGCACATGAATTGAATAGGGAATTTTCAAAGGAAGAGGTACAAATGGCTAATAAATACATGAAGAATTGTTCAACTTCCCTGGCCATAAAAGAAATGCAAATCAAAACTACACTAAGATTTAATATCACCCCAGTTAGAATGGCTATCATCAAGAATACAACAACAAATGTTGGTGAGGATGCAGTGAAACAGGAACCCTTCTAAACTGTTGGTGGGAATGCAAATTAGTACTTCCATTACTGGCATATAATCCAGTACTACCACTCCTGGACATATACATGAAGGAATGTAAATCAGGAGACAATACAGTCACTTGCACAGATAGATATAGATAGAGAGAGAGTTTTATTCAGCTATAAGGAAGAATGAAACTATGGATTGAATTTGAGGACATCATGTTAAGTGAAATAAGCCAGGTTCACAAAGAAAAAGGCTGCATATTTTCTCTCCTATGTGGAAGATAGATCCAAAAGAATAATGTATACACAAAAACAAACATGATCATATACACATTTATATGTAGAACATGTCTGTAATAACAGAACTACTCTATGGCACTCAGGAGAAGGGATAATGGAAAAGAGAATAATAGTCAATATTGAAATGCATTATAATTGTGCAGGTAGAAGACATAATGATATGTTCTGAAAGTTGTTGAATAATGGCGGGTGGGAGGAATGGGGTAAGGAAGAGTAACAGAGGGGGCTGAATTGACCAACGTAAAGTATATTCATAGCTGGGTTACATTAAGAAACCCCTCTGAACATAGACTTTGTAATTAAAAATTAAAAACAGGGCACCCTCTCTTGGAAACTCCTTAATTGTGGGGACTCTACTCTTACACTTTACATTTTTCTGTTGAGGGGGTTACTTGTGGGAGGGGGGAGGTGAATGGAGGAGATGAAGGTGAGGGAATATGGTTAATGGGCTTCACAGATGTACATATAGACATAGACATAGACACAGATATAAATATGAAATAGAATGATGAAACTTCTTGCAATTGCCGTAAGTGGGGTAGGGAGGGAGGTGCAGGGGGCAGATGGTAGGAGCAATCTAACCAATATACAATGTAAGGCTATTCAAAATTGGCACAATGAGCTCTCCTCGTACAATGAATATATGCTAATAAAAATGAAAAAAAGAAAAAAATGACATTAATTAAAAAAGAAGTTAATTCAAATATCTGAGTAAATATGTAGATATATTTTGTCACTATCAATTTTATTTAGAATATTCATATACAAAAAATGAGAACTTATATACTTCTAATCATTAAGAAAAAGTTAGAAATTATTAAAACATTACTAAGGCACTGAATGCGAATATCCTTTGAAATATGACTTCAGATTTTTATATATTTAATGTTCAAATATTCGTAAGAAATATTTTTAATAATAATTATTCAACTTTACTATTTTTTCCCTCAAAGAATTTTGAACAAGTATGTAAAATATAGTAATGAAAATAATGAGATACACTCAGGTTTAAAGGTTCTTTATCACTAGACAAAGGATTTATGTACTGGATGCTTTAACTCTTAAACATATATTGTTTCATGACAGTAGTACATCAACCAAAATAAGGCATACTGAAGCACAGATGGACATCATGATACATAATTTGACAGAAAAGCTCAGGATATAACCAATTGGGTAACTATATCACAAATTAAAAAGTTAGAGTTTTAGCTTTATGATACAGTCCAAAACATACTCCCATTTTTTGCTTAGTATATATATGGTTCATCCTGGAATATAAATGCAATGACATACCCATAATATGAAGGGGTTCTGGATTTTCAACAGCACTGAGCCTTTGCTCTTTGGTACAATGCATGGCAAAGTGACAATAACTTGGTAACAGCAAAAGAGACCTAGATTCATCACAAAACAGCAACAATAAATATGTAAGAAATATGCACTCTGGCTTATGTATTGACCTTATACTTGAAAACATTTTTCCATATGTGTCAGTAGCTGTGACTGTTTGCCAAATAGTGATAAAGCAAATAAAAACAGGAAGAAAACAAAAGCATACTTATAACTTTTTAATAACTTTTGCTTGTGATGACCTCTTATGCTCTGGAACTCCTGTGTTATATAAAATTGGAGCTGGAAAAGAAAAAAACCTTTTTATTGGTACAATAAAAAACAATATAAGAGGTAAAAATTACCAGAATCATTAGTTTTATAAAGCTTTTACAAAAAAGCAAATACACACCTAACACATTGTAATAGGATATTGTGCTATTGGGCTTTGAAAAAGAAAAAACAAAGCAACACCAAACTATATTTTCTTGATGAATGTGAAGCTCTCAAAAATCTAAGGGCTTGGCTTTTATTTTGGAAGCAAAAGCATGGTTCTTGAGGGAAACATGGCAACCATCTTTATAAGGTAAATGTAAATTGTCTTAAACATATGGTAAAAACTGGGGAATATAATTTTAGTAACAGTGAATTAAGATGAAAGAAGTAAAAGATCCCTTAGATTTATAATTCAAAGCATGCTGAAAAGCATGTGTTTAAAATTTATCCTTTAAAAGCCAATTCTTGAATCCAATATAGCTATATACTAACACATGCATTCAACAAATAATTACATGAAATACAGGCACTGAGATAATTAAAGCAGAAGTCTTGTTCTGTGCAGAACATAGAAAGACATGACCCTGCTAAGACAGAAACAATAGAGTAAATGAAAGCAAGGACCCATAGTGGAGCATTCTGAAGAGAACAGTCATGATGAATTTCACAAGACTCAAACAGGTAAATGTACAAAGGACATTTTAAGTGGACAAATAAAATGAGGGACACAAAGTACAGAAGGAAATTATCAAAAAGAAAAAAAAACTTATTTTCTAAAACTTTGATTACTTTGATTTTAACACATACGCAAAACCTACAAGCTTGAGATTATCATCCAATTACTACTCATGCCACCCCCTTGTACTGTGGCCCTCTCTACCTTCCTCTGCATCTTTACGTCCATCATTGGTTTCAGAAGCTCTGACATCAAAGCACAGGAGTTCCAATCGATAGCCTGGTTCCCTTATTAAAATAAAAATTCTCACAAAATCAAGCATCAGAAGAATGGTTTAAAAAAGTGAGCCTAAGAATTAGGGTTTTACTTATAAAATATTATATCTGTGATTTCCCAACAAAGTGCATAGTTTCCATTGAGACTTAAAATAACTCATGGTAGATCAGCAGTCATTAGGTGTGTACTGAAGCTATGGCTAGGCTGTGAAGTAAGATCAGCTGATTTTTTTTTCCTTGTTAACTGAGCCTTTTACACTGTGATAAATTTTTATTTTATTATTTTTGTAAATAATGAGCACCAAGTATGTGTACTAGGTGGTGTTCTAACTGCTGAGAAGACTGCAGTGAATGAGAGGGACAAGGTCTGTGCTCTCAAGGAGCTGCTATGTTATCTGCAGGGGGCAGACAGGGAGTAAAGAAATAAAAGACAGGAAGATCAAACAGGGTAAGGAGACACAATGTGAGTAGTGGGGCCAAAGAGAAGGTGGTGGGGACTCTTACTTCTTACGGTCCTTTTCCTTCTTCATGGTGCTACCTGATGCCACAAAGGACTGGTTTTGGAATATCTCAGAGGTAGCTTTCCTCTTAGAGAAAGTGATTATTTCTTCTTCCAAAACTCTTCTCTTTTCTTCAAGTTTCACTCTCTCATCTTGGTGAAGTCTTTTAAGGTGCTCAAATTTGGCCTGCAGCTATGAAACAAAAGTGCAATTCTCATGATTGGCACAGTGTGTCAGCACACACACAGGAATGCTTTCTGGCTCAACAACATAATAACCCCCATTTTCCATACTCAAGTAAAACCTTACATATGGAATTGCCTTGATTTCTTTAATTTTAAATGCGTGAAATGAAAACAGAATGTTTGAAACAAATGCAATAAAAACTATAGTCTTGAACAAAACTCAACCTTTTGCTAGGGTTTTTCTTCTTTACATTTTATCTACAAAGTCTTTTTAATAGCTTCTCAAATCCATGCTCAACAGAAATAAAGAATATGAAAGTACAGAAGGAAATTATCAATAAGAAAAAACCTACTTATTTTTCAAATAAAGATAACATGTATAATGAAAAAGATTTTGAAAATTATATTGGCAAACTCTACTTCCAGCAAATATTAACAGTTAATGTGAAGAAACTTAAAACTGTATTGTACTTTTGCACTGTCCCTTGACAACTTTTTGAAATTGAAACTAAACAAATTCTAAATTCATACAAAAGCATTATCTATAAAGATACTCATTATTGATGAATTTACAGGTAAAAGTAGCCTACAAATCCAACAGAGATAAAGTAAAAAATAAAAATAAAATAGAAACATGAGACTAAATACACTCAATACAGCTGTGGGAGGTCAGAATATGCTACTCTAAAATATGAAGGACTGCTGAGCTAAAGCAGATTAAGAAAAAAGCACATGCAAGAGAGCTCTCTGCTCTTCCTCTATGTGCCTAAAAGCAGGACAAAGATTTACAAAGACACAGGTACCTTACCTTTCCCTACCATGGGGAACAGAGATTTATTGCCTGCATAGCTAGCCTCAGAAGGACCTCATCAACAAGTTTTTACTAACTAGGCTTAATCTGACTTTTACCAAATTGCCCCTTAGAGACTTAAAGTCCTTTTCCTTTGTCTTGTCATTTCTTTAAAAATTCACTGTTCTTTGTGGAAGGTGCTAAAGAAGCTGAAATTCAGTCACCTCTCTGAGAACTACTCAGTGCCTGGAATATGTGAAATATACATGTTAAAAAATTTCTTTTTGTTTTTCTCTTGTTAATCTGAGAACAAAGAGGTCCTTTTCAACTAGGAACCTATGCAGCTATGCTTCTCCTACACAGCCATTAAACTGAGTTCTGCAAAAGATTTTAACTTCACAACATGAGGTTTCTCTTGTTAAGTGAAAAAAGCAAGAATGTAGAAGGAAAAATAAAAAATACAGTTCAATAAACTTTCTTTGGGGCTGGAAATCACCTTTATAAAATCATAGAAAGGGAATAATTCCAATTTAGAGGCACGCATTGATTTGACTTTTGCTCCACAAATTAAGGAATGCCCTATGTGGATCCAGGAAGACATTTCTCAAAACTATGAAGGAAATAAAACTCTTAGAAGTAAGTAACAGATAAAAAGGAAGCTTAAAAAATTGAGGGGGGGGGAGATAATCTACTTAATCATACATAAATAATCAATATTAGTCATTAACAAAAAAAAAAAGAAAAGGAAGTCCAGCTCTGTCCACTCATGATCCTTCCATCATGGCCCCATGTTGCAGTGTACTGTATGAGGATTGGCTCCTGGAGAACTGCTTAGGAGCTGTATATTTGCTATCTTTATACCACCCCTCTCTTTCTTCCCAAGTCTTTCTCTCTCTCCATTTCCCTTCCTCCCTCCCTATTCCATTTACCTTGAATATCAGAAAGGCAGGACTGATCAATAAACATCTGTGACAAGAGTCAAATCTATCCCCAGGCAGCAATAACTTTCTTATCAGCCTCACCATTAATGAGGTAATAATCAACTAGACCAGGCTTGACCAAGACTGATTAACTATGCCCCCTCCCTACATAATTTAGAAGCTCATGTTACTGAACCCCTCTATCTGTTCTTTCCCAAATCGCCATGTTTACAGAAAGTTTTCTCTGCCCCTCATCACTATTTTTATTTTTTTCAATCTCAGATTTGTATTTATTTTGCCTATTTTTAAAAGTTTTTGTTAGTATATGATAGTTTTGTTGTGACATTTCCATATATATATATGCATATATTATAGACAGTATCTCAACCATATTCACCTTCCTCTTCCGTCTTCATTTACCCTTCCCTCTCCCACTATTACTCTCCCCTTACATGACCTGTGTTACATTCCTGTCCTGCATTGTTTCAGTGTCTGTTCACTGTTCAGTGAGGTTTTGCCTTGGTATTTTACCTATAAATATACTATACTTTATCAGTCAAACTCCTTCTATTACTCTTCTTTATCCTCTTCCCCCTTTGGATATGTGCCTAGGAGTGGTATTGCTAGATTATACGGTAGTTCTATTTTTAGTTTTCTGAGGAGCCTCCAGACTGTTTTCCACAGTGGTTGTGTTAATGTACATTTTCAATGTACAATTATAAGAGTTCCTTTTGTCTCCCATATCTTTGTCAATATTTGTTGTTTGTGTTCTAGATAATAGCCATTCTAACAGGAGTGAAGTGGAATCTTAATCTGGTTCTGATTTGCATTTCCTTTATGGCCAGGGATGTTGAGCTTTTCTTCATGTGCTTTTTGGCCATTTGTACTTTTTCCTTTAAAAAAATTTCTGTTCAGTTCATTTGCCTATCTCTTCACTAGGTCATTGATTCTTTGGAAGTTTACTTTTTTGAGCTCCCTAAAAATTCTGGCTATTACTTTCTTGTCAGATGTATAGCTGGCAAAGATTTTCTTCCATTCTGTGGGCTATCTCTTCAGTCATACTACTCTTCTCTTTAATTGGTATATTGGGACAGGTGGCTAAATCTAGTCTGTTGGGACTCTCCAAGCTGGGGCTTTTGTCCTAAAACTCTTGGTAACAAATTTTTGTGAACCACACCACAAAATTCCTTTTGGAAATTATCCACTTACTGAAAGCTGATGCCAGATGAAGAGGAGAGAAGGAGGGTCCCATACAGCTGCCAAAATCACATTTATTTTGGGGTTCTTCTCATTCCATTTCAGGCCAGCATGAGATGCCTTTTGGGGGGGTACTGGAATTTGAACTCAGGGCCTTGCATTTATTAGGCAAGCATTCTACCATTTGAGTCATATCCCCAGGCTTTTGTTTTAGTTGTTTTTCAGATAAGGTCTCATTCTTTTGCCTGGGGCTGGGGTTGGCCTTGAATCATGATCCTCCTGGCTAGCAGGTATTACAAGCTTGAGCCACCAAGCCTAGCTTGTTTTTTGACATAAGGTCTCATTAACTTTTTGCTAAGGCTATCCTCGAATGTGAACCTTCTATCTCTGCTTCCAAACTAGCTGGGATTACAGATGTGCGCCACTGAAGCTGGTCCTCAGCTGCTTTTCACATCACTTGGTGAGGCAGAAAAATGAATATTTAGCCTCACCAGGCCCTGAAGTCTGACCCTTGGTAAGTTCTAGACAGGTCTTGAAGTCTGACCCTTTGTAAATTTCTTCACCTTTTGCCTTGTCTTTCCCTTCCTTTTCCTTGTCCTTTGGAGAATCTTTTGAGCCATTTGGGTTCTTTTGAACTAATTTGGGCTTCTGTCCTTTGTCTGACAGGGAAGTTTGGAATCCATAACTTTGTGTTGGTAATCAACAGAGAAAGGATGTAATGTGCACAAAGAAAACAGGGTGTATTTGGAGATCTCTGCTTAGCTTTGCATAAGAATGAAAAGCTAACTAACTCTATTTCTCTGTGTCCCCTAGACTAGCTGACCTGTCTATTTATAATTATAAACCTACAGCTTAAAAATGACAAAGGATGGTTTATGTAAGAGTGCACTGAGTTAATATAAGTTTTTATGTGTCATTTTTGTGTATTAGTCTATTTATCTGTGTCTAAGGCTAAAAGTATGATGGTTACAGCCACAATCCTGTTAAGAAATTTATATGCGTAGGAGTCCCTGGACTCTAAAGCAAAGAGACATGCTTCCTCTGGCCTACTTTGGGTAACTCTAGATTTTAACAGAGGTGTCAGGGGTGTGTAACTCCATAACATGCAGCAATCTGGGAATTTTATCAGAACATTTGCTTAAAAAGCCAAGATTTTAATTGGACTTCACGCTATGAATTTCTTTAAATTCTGTATTCAAAGACTATGTGTTGAAATAACTACTTTTTAAAGCTGTGCATGGTGGCTCAAGCTTGTAATACTAGCTTCCTGGGAGGCTAAGATAGAGAGAATCACTGTTTGAAGCCAGTCCGGGCAAAAAGTTTGTGAGATCCCATTCTCAACCAATAGCTAGGCATGGAGGTGTGTGCCTGTTGTCCTAGTCATGTTAGGAAGTCTAAAAGAGCAAGATTGTGGTTCAGGCTAGTCTGGGTATAAAGCCGAACTCTATCTCAAAAACAATCAGGGCTGGAGACATGGCTAAAGTGATGGGAATGTCTGCCTAGCAAGCACAAAGGCCAGATTCAAACCTCAATACCACCAGAAAAAAATAAAAACAAAAAAGCTACTTTTAAAAGGACACTAGGAGAGTTAACCGGGGAATGAGGGAGGAGGTGAATCTAGTTAAGAAACATTGTATGTAAGCACATATGTAAATGTCACAATGAACCACCTCTACAACTAATACATGCTAATAAGTACATTAAAACTTCAAAAGTGTCTCAACTACATTTTAAGATAAATCTTCCAAATTAACAGGACATCTAAAAAGTAAATGCAAATCACATCAAACCACATACCTCTCTTTCTGCTTCTTTCAGTATGGCTTCTTTCTCCTTTACTCGTTGCACAAACATCTGCTTCATCTCTTCTTCCTTCTTCAGACGTTCACCATGGAATTCATGTCTTTTAGCTTCATAAGTCTCCTGAAGACTAAAAAGTCTAATGTTAAAAAGATGATGTAAAAAAATTGTAAAACTTTATTCATTCCTTTTGACCTCAGATATACAATACCACGTGCCAATATCTTCTGACTACAAGCAATCTGAAACATGCCATCTCCTGCAACATGAGATAAAAGGCCTCCAGTGCTACAGCTAATGAAGCATAACATAAAAAGTCCTTCCAAAGAAGTATTCTCATTTCATCCCAAGTATATCCATTTTTCTTTATTAACTAGCATCACTGTATCTACAAACTCTGAAGAACTGAAGTCACTTGTGATGCACCCTTTTGCAATTATCTTTGTCTCTTGAGTACTGAGGTCTGTTATCTCAGCCTTGAAACTGACATCACTAAAATACTCTTCTATTTCTGCAGATATCCTATCACAGCCCAACATGATCTCTGCCACTTTCTGCCTTCACTTTTATAATAAGCTCCTAAATCATCTCTGAGCTTCTAGCTCCTCCTTCTCTCATTTTCTTTGTTTTTTTTTCCTTTTTTTTATTCTCCCCCTGCCCTCACCCCCTCCCTTACCACCCACTCCGCCCCGTCCCTCTCCCCCCTACACCCTCAATACTCAGCATAAACTATTTTGCCCTTATCTCTAATTTTGTTGAAGAGAGAGTATAAGCAATAATAGGAAGGAACACGGGTTCCTGGTTGAGATAAGGATAGCTATACAGGGAGTTGACTCACATTAATTTCCTGTGCATCTGTGTTACCTTCTAGGTTAATTCTTTTTGATCTCACCTTTTCTCTAGTTCCTGGTCCCCTTCTCCTATTGGCCTCGGTTGCTTTTTAAGGTATCTGCTTTAGTTTCTCTGCGTTAAGGGCAACAAATGTTAGCTAATTTTTTAGGTGTCTTACCTATCCTCACCTCTCCCTTGTGTGCTCTCGCTTTTATCATGTGCTCAAAGTCCAATCCCCTTGTTGTGTTTGCCCTTGATCTAATGTCTGCATGTAAGGGAGAAAATATGATGTTTGGTCTTTTGGGCCAGGCTAACCTCACTCAGAATGATGTTCTCCAATTCCATCCATTTACCAGCAAATGATAACATTTCATTTTCTTCATGGCTGCATAAAATTCCATTGTGTATAGATACACATTTTCTTAATCCATTGTCAGTGGTGGCATCTTGGCTGTTTCCATAACTTGGCTATTGTGAATAGTGCCGCAATAAACATGGGTGTGCAGGTGCCTCTGGAGTAACCTGTGTCACAGTCTTTTGGGTATATCCCCAAGAGTGGTATTGCTGGATCAAATGGTAGATCAATGTTTAGCTTTTTAAGTAGCCTCCAAATTTTTTTCCAGTGTGGTTGTATTAGTTTACATTCTCACCAACAGTGTATGAGGGTTCCTTTCTTCCCCACATCCTTGCCAACACCTGTTGTTGGTGATGTTGCTAATGATGGCTATTCTAACAGGGGTGAGGTGGAATCTTAGTGTGGTTTCAATTTGCATTTCCTTTATTGTTAGAGATGGTGAGCATTTTTTCATGTGTTTTTGGCTTGAATTTCTTCTTTTGAGAAAGTTCTGTTTAGTTCATGTGCCCATTTCTTTATTGGTTCATTAGTTTTGGGAGAATTTAGTTTTTTAAGTTCCCTATATATTCTGGTTATCAGTCCTTTCTCTGATGTGTAGCTGGCAAGTATTTTCTCCCACTCTGTGGGTATTCTCTTCAGTTTAGAGACCATTTCTTTTGATGGACAGAAGCTTTTTAGTTTTATGAGGTCCCATTTATCTATGCTATCTCTTAGTTGCTGTGCTGCTGGGGTTTCGCTGAGAAAGTTCTTACCTATACCTACTAATTCCAGAGTATTTCCTACTCTTTCCTGTATCAGCTTTAGAGTTTGTGGTCTGATATTAAGATCCTTGATCCATTTTGAGTTAATATTGGTATAGGGTGATATACATGGATCTAGTTTCAGTTTTTTGCAGACTGCTAACCAGTTTCCCAGCAGTTTTTGTTGAAGAGGCTGCTATTTCTCCATCGTATATTTTTAGCTCCTTTGTCAAAGACAAGTTGGTTATAGTTGTGTGGCTTCGTATCTGGGTCCTCTATTCTGTTCCATTGGTCTTCATGTCTGTTTTTGTGCCAGTACCATGCTGTTTTTATCATTATTGCTTTGTAATATAGTTTGAAGTCAGGTATTGTGATACCTCCAGCATTGTTCTTTTGATTGAGTATTGCCTTGGCTATTCGTGGCCTCTTGTGTTTCCATATAAATTTCACAGTAGATTTTTCAATCTCTTTAATGAATGTCATTGGAATTTTGATGGGAATTGCATTAAACATGTAGATTACTTTTGGGAGTATAGACATTTTTACTATGTTGATTCTACCAATCCGTTCTCATTTTGTTCTTGCCATTCTCTATATTTTCCACCCAAACTACAGATCTCCTTTATCTTTTCACCCCCTGTAAATAGCATGTAGGAAACCTTGCGATCTGGCCTAATTTTACTTTTCCAGATAAATTTCTCATCAAACCAATCCAATCCTCTTAGGTTCTATCAACACCAATGTTTCTAAAACATAACCTTACACTTTAGACTTTTGCTTATTCCATCTCCATTTCTGATGCTTTTGCCCTCTCCTTGTCCCCATTCTGCCCAACTATTCCTCTGTCCCTCAAGGCTGAACACAGATCCAACTTCCTCTATTCTTGCTTCCCCCATCTTCCCAGTTGGAATTAACTGTTCCTTTATGTTTCCTCTCTTAAGCGGAGCAGGTCTGGGAAGGGTGAAAGTCACCCTTTACTGGATCCAGTTCATTTTGACCTTGCAAGAAACTTTCAGCCACTTGCTCTCACCCCATCTGGGAGCCAGCCTTAAATTGAGACCTTCCTTTAACTCTCCAGGGTTCATCTCATCAATGAGCAGAGGCTTCCCAAACTGAATAAACACTCAATAAATGCAGGTAATGGGCAACCTATAGTTCTATACTGTCCTCCTCCTAGCCATCTCCTAATTACCTCTCCATGAGATACCGTCTGATATCACACAGGTTCATGCCCACTACTAAAAAAGAGATGGAAACATGATCTAAGGTGGAACAAACATAACATAGGATACTACTCCTGGTGTATGAATTTACCAAAAGAAGAGAACAAATGCTGAGCAATTCATTTCAGTTCATTCGCTATACTCTGGAGCTAGACTGAAACTAGTTTTTTATTGTTTAAGCCTTCCGTGGTTTTGATTCTGTAAGTTCCGGGCCTATTGTAGCCTTCCAACACTGCTCATTTTTGTTCAACAATTTCATGGTTTTAACATTACACAGAGATTGAAAATCTACCCTAAAGTTCATTTGGAACACAAGAACCAAAATAGCCAAGGCAATACTCAGCAAAAAGAATAATGCTGGAGGATCACAAAATACAACTTCAAACTATATTACAAAGCAATAGCAATAAAAACAGCATGGTACTGGCACAAAAACAGACATGAAGACCAGTGGAACAGAATAGAGGACCCAGATATGAATCCACACACTATGCCCACCTTATTTTTTGAGAAAGGTGCAAAATATACAATGGAGAAAAGACAGCCTCTTCAACAAATGTTGCTGGGAAAAGTGGTTATCCATCTGCAAAACTGAAACTAGATCCATGTTTATCACCCTGTACTAGTATCAACTCAAAATGGATCAAGGACCTTAATATCAGACCCAAAACTCTGAAGTTAGTACAGGAAAGCAGGAAACACTCTGGAACTAATAGTATAGGCAAGGACTTCCTCAATAGAACCCCAGCATCAGCAACTAAGAGAAAGATGGACAAATGGGACTTCATAAATTAAAAAGCTTCTGCACAACAAAAGAAATGGTCTCTAAACTGAAGAGACCACCCACAGAGTGGGAGAAAATATTTGCCAGCTATACATCAGACAAGGACTGATAACCAGAATATACAGGGAACTTAAAAACTAAACTCTTCCAAAATCAATGAACCAATTAAGAAATGGGCAACTGAACAAACAGAACTTTCTCAAAAGAAGAAATTCAAATGGCCAAAAAACAATAAAAAATGCTCACCATCTTAGCCATAAAGGGAAATGCAAATCAAAACCACACTAAGATTCCACTTCACCCCTGTTAGAATAGCCATCATCACAAACCCACAACAACAGGTATTGGTGAGGATGTGGGGAAAAGAACCCTCGTACACTGCTGGTGGGATAACACAAGCTAGTGCAACCACTCTGGAATAATATGGAAGGCTTCTTAAAAACT